TATTAAGCTTGTCGAAAATTTCGTATTTAGCCGATTTTTAAGCTTATACTTGTTTTTGCTATAACTATCGAAAAATACATCATATGGAGTTGCAATTAAACTGCATAGTATATTTTTGATGCTCTATCCGATCGCGTTAAAATAGTCCTGAAAAATAATTAGATACACCCCCGCTAATGACCCAGAACCGGAAAATCTATAAAATACAAAACGAACCAGTGAGTGGTGCTCGTGGTGGGAATCCGGCGCGAGCAGCAACGGCGTCTTGGCCAGCATGGGCCTTGGCGGGCAGCACTCCGGCTGCCTTAGCCGCCTCTTCGCTTTCCGAGTTGTTCTGCAGCTGCTTCAGGAAGGGGTTCAGGTTTGGGGCCACCTGGAAAAGACTTGAGGTTTTTGGTAACCGGGGAAACGACAGGCTGGCTGGCTGCTCGCGCGATAGGGTGATAATTGTAGCTTTTTTTTTCTCTCTCGGGTTTTTGGTGAAAACGAAGGAGCTTTGTAAAAACGTTTTGGAATAAAAACATGCATTTTCCCCGTTTATAACAATAAAAACGTACCAGCAGGCAGAGGGAGAGGACAAGAACGGCGAGGCATGTGCCGGCTTGCGTCGAGCGCTTCGTCGACGCGGCGAAGGCGGCTTGAAGCTTGCGCAGCTGCGTGCGCACGTACACATTCTCGTGGCGAAGGCGCTCAACCTGGAAATGGGGATGTAGATTTATAGCTTCTTACAAGAAAAAGCTCAGGAACCCGAAATTGAAGCCAAATTCCCTTACCTCTTGTTTCAGGTCGTTGTTCTCCTGGGTGCAGTCGTTGACGCGGTCTTCAAGCTGTTCGATGTAGTCCTGAAAAAAAAGTTAGTTTACGGGATAAACGCGGTGTTTTTTTATAATGTGTCCCTGTTGAGAGGAAATAACGCATAGGGAAGTGTGGGTCTGGTCTATTCATTGCGATGTTTGTACAAATCCCGCCAGTCGACCATCGACAAATATTTTTTCGACAACAATTGGATATTTTCAATTAGGGTTGGCATTTGAGGAAACCGGTTTCCTTTTTTAATTTATACCTAATGCTTTGATATGACCGGTTTTTATTGAAATCGGTTTTAAAAACGACGGTTTAAATTTCCGTGGTAGGAGATCGGTTTTTTCGGTTTTGCGGTTTTTCGAAAGACGGGTTTTGATCGGGATACCAACCGAATCTTTTTCCCGATGTTTTGGGGTTTTTGGTGGGTTCTTGAATTTCAGAGGTCCATCCTGAATGTCTGAAAGCAATATACCCCATTTTGGGGCTGCGGCATGTTTTAAAATCCCTGCAAACACAAAAATCGTTTGCATCCAAAATTTTGTATAAACCGGTTCTATTTCTGCTCGGCTTTTTCTTTGTCCTTTTTTTCTTGCTCCATTCGATCGGTTTCCGGTTTTCAATCCCGCTGTTTTTTCGAGAACCGGATCCGATTACCAATACCGTGATTTTTTTCCCCGGAATCGGCCGGGTCCGTGGTATTGAAATCATTCAACCCCATCTCAAAACAACCCGCCCAATCAAACATTGATTCCAACCAAATAATCGGAAACTCCACTGCCAACCTATTCCCCCCCCTTCCAGCGATGATCATGTACGTGTCGTTTGGAAAACCGGAAATTGGCGAGAAAGCCGGGAGATGCACCCAAACGATAATATTGCGTATATTGGAACTTAATGTACTAAATATTTCCGGAAAATCTCAGAATTTTTCAGGGTGAAACGTATCAAATGAGCGCTTTTCTTGAGCAATTTCCGGCGCAAAAATGGCCTATACCTCGAATTTTAAAATTTCGTGGTTTTTATTTTTAAAAAACATTTTAAATTCGCATTTGAAGGCATTTTGAAACGATCTTTCCGATCCTTTTTCTCCAAGATTTCGGAAAATCGCTAGTTTACTGTTATCACACTCCCTTGTTAATGGTTCTAGACCGTTCCGAGCTCCAGGTCCCCAAGTTTTTGCCCAAAATTGGAAAGCTGTCATAGATAGGGCGGCCGGGAGATTGACAGTTGTCCGGCTAGTCCGTGTTCTAGGCCCGCTTTTTGACTGTGCAAAAAGTGCGAGGGTTCAACCCGCGCTTTTTGCGGTTTATGGGGAGGTGTTTTTTGGGGCCAGATGGGGGTAGAAATCTGTGATTTTTTGCGTGGGCCAGGGCTGCAGCTGGGTAACGGTAAAAGTTATAACAAGAGAAAAAGCTTTTTGCTGCAGGATTTTACGGATATTCACGGTACGCAGCTGTACTATATGTTTTTACAAGAAAAGGAAAACGTTTTAGATAGATTTTTAAATTATAAATACATTTTGAAGTGAAAAAATCGTTAAGAAGCTCGTTTTTCGTTAAAAAGTTTGATATTTTCTAAAGTTTAAAACCTCTTGTTTTGAACTAATCGGCTTTTTCTTTAACATAAAGCTTATGCATTTTCCCTGACCAGTACCATCCCATCCATCCCCTCCCCCCGTATACATAGACAACCCCCGGCTAATCGTCTCGATCCATGGAGACTCGATGCAGCGAGCTGTATGAGCGAGGGGAAACCGGTCTTCCGGGCTGGGTTCTTCTTTTTATTTCGTCGCCAAGGGGGGGTGAGCATCTCCCCTCGGAATGCCTTATTCCCCTCCTCCTCCCGTGTCTTATCTATTGGCTTCAGACAGCAGGAGACTGGTGGACGGAGAAAGTTTCTGGAAGGGATGGATGGCGGAACGGGAAATCTCGGGAGTGAGGGTCGAGCTTGGATTGGATACTAGTTCCTGGTTACTTCAAGGTAATACATCGTTTATGGGGTTATCTAGGATCGAAAAAACTGAAGTTCTAGAGCTTTTTTCAAGGTTCTGGTTCATTAACGGGGGGAGCCAATTTCCTTTATTCAGCCTCCTTCCAAACACAAAGTATTTTAGTAGTTTTTGGTACCAAAAAGGTCTACAAACACGCATTGAAACTTAAAAAGATTAATTTTTCCACAACTTCCCTAATTTTTTCCAAAGTAGATTCCTTTATTTAGAATCCATAAATATTAAATCCACAAACTTTATATTGTGTTTTTTAGTAGCTTTTGTTAGTAAAAACGCATATAAACTATTTTAGAGAAGTAATAGATTCAAATTTTGAATCCTTTCCACCTTTTTTCGAAAAATCAGGTTTTTATGAACTTTCTAGAGGTAAAACCCGCCTAGAAAGCTCAATAAATGGCGTGTATTGTTGGAAAATAAAGAGGATTATTGGGAAATAAAGAGGACAAGCCAGTTAGATCCCCGCCAAAATCACCCCCCCGCTAACGTCCCAGTGCCGAAAAAGCCTTCAAAGAGCCCTTTCAAATCCCTGATCCGATCCCGAATTCCCCCATTGGCCGTCCGTCATCTGGAAAGATCGTATCCAGCGGTTGGTTTGACCCCGGCACCGCCTGGAGCCCCCGTGAGGAAGCCGAAGTAGGCCAATCCTCCCCCCTTTGGCGACACGGCCTTGAACGCCGCTCAAAAACATTTTCCGAGAAGATGCTTTGCCAAAAAATTGGTTTTTCCGGGAATTGGGTCATTAGGGAATGGGCGAGATATTTGGGAGGGTAGTTTGTCAGGGTGGTCTAAATGGTTTTGCAAGGCTCTTGGGCCTTTTCTCGGGTTCTTATGTATTTCCGGGGGGGGATGAATTTTCTCCTATAATTCCAGAGACGGTACTTTAAAGGTATTTTTAGTAAAAAAACAACCATTTTTTGAGTGGCAAAACCTTCAAAAACCTCTAAACATGCTTGAAAATATGAGAATTTGGCCCAAAAACCTGCTCCAAAAGTCTAGATTTTTTGTAATTGCAATTTTTCCGTTTAGAAATAGAAAATGTTTGTAGAAATAGTTTCTGTATTTATATGAGAACTATTGGATCCCAAGGAAAAAATCTGACCCCCCCCCCGCGGAATTGCTAAAGCACTGAATTTCGCTTAAATTGCCCAAAAGTCACAACTTCCGAGCTGACCACAAACAAATCGGCAGCGCGGGTCCCGCGGCGGCTCCGTGCCTGTTACCGCCGCTCTCGTCAATATTTAAGAAGGTGCATTTTGTGCGAGGGGCGCGCGCGAATTTCGCCGGGGTAGAGCCCTTTAGACCGTTTCCTTGAGGGCAAATAGACAGGGCGTGTGTTTGTGTGATGGTGAAGATGAACTGTTATTCGGAATGGCTTCTGGGGGCATTGCAAAACTGCCGACCTGTTTGCGCTTGCGGCTCGTCTGGGCACTGCGCTTGTTCCGGATTTTTCGGCGGATCTTCTTGAGGTCGCGCTCTTCGGCCTGAAAATGGGAAAATGGATTTGAAGGATTTGAAAAGTTTGAATATTTTTTTGATTTTATTCAACCACCGTTGTTTATTCGTTCCGAATTTGGCAATTTTCGACATCCCTAAAAAACGACTCGGCTACCGTACCTTGGTGAGTGGATAGTGTTCGGGGAGTGTGATGCCCTCCTTCTTGCATAGGCGCTTCTCCTCCTCGGTGAGCACGAGCGGCGGGTACTTCCGCGTTCTCTCGCCGACTGCTGCAATAAATCAAGGTTTACAAAAAGAATGGGATACTAGACGATATCGGCAGTGAGCGAGAGAGAGAGAGTGAGAGTGAGAGCGAGAGAGAGAGAGAGCGCCAAAAGCAAAGCAGTAGTACCTGGGGTAAGTTTTGTCGTTCCAGCGCCCGATGAAGTGGCAGGGGTTACGAGACTGCTGGCTGCACCGGGTCGGCCGATTGGTCCTGGAAAACGTTCTTTAAAGCAATACTATCACCAACTTAATTTTAAGAGAAAAATTGCTATTTTGTCATTTTCCCTTTCATTTCCTTCACATCCCGCACCCCCGGCTTTTCCCGATTCTCGCCCGGACCCCAAAAACGGAGTTCTGACCCCATTCTCCCCATCCTCCACTCAGCTGACCGTGTTTTTTTGCGTTATTTGGGGGCGAAATCGAGTTGGGGTGGATCTCACTGTGCTGCTGGCCGCGATCCAATCTGTGCCCAGATCGCGATCGCGGGCTAATATAATTTGGTTGCATCCGCGGTATGTACCCTGGGGGTTTGTGGGCCTTGACCCTCGCCCCTCGGTGCCATCAAATCCATAAACAATCAGCTCTCGAGGGTATTGAGTGGGTGGGCGAGTGTTCAGGCGAGAAAATGTAAACAAATCTAGGTTCCGGAACAGTCTGGGAACAATTTCGCGTGCTTTATAAATCTGGAAAACGCACTAAAAGCACAGGGCTTCGCTATACTGCTCGTATCGTTACGTAGCGTACTCCAATCACTTTTGTTCAGACGAGAAATCATAAACAAATCTAGGGCAATTTCCACCTTTGTTCGCAACGTTGCGTATCGTAGTTAACGCAGCGCACAGCTTTTCATTTTTTGAGATTTTTTCCGGATCTTCGACTTTTCCAAAATAAAATCCGGCTGTTTAAGCGCAGGATTTGACTGTACTTTCGTATCGGTGCGTAGCGTATTAACACAGCTTTTTTAAAGATTTCCTGGCTTTTTTATTTTCGACTTTTCCAACGACAAAAAAATTCACATCCTTTCGCTTCCACTTTCCCTTCACCACGCCACTTTCAAATCCGATATTATTGGATTTCGTGCGACTTTTTTTGCAGCCGATCCCCACCGTCAAAAAAAGTATAGAATCGTCCCGTTTTGGAGATGGGCCGGGGTGTGAAAGGGCGCGCCGATGTGGCGCGGTCGATGATCAATACCCCCTGTGGAAGGATCGGGGCGATCGTGTCCGCCCGCCCGCACACTACTAATATTCACCGGTCGCCAGCCGGACCGCCGCCGGTCCGCTAAGCCAACAATAGCCGGCCGGCGCGTTTTGTCAAATAATTCGGGCGGCGCGCGTGCAGGGTAAAAAAGGGAAAATTCAGAATTGGGATTGGCCTTTGAAATATGGATGCGTAGACCAAAGCGAAATGCTGGAAAAAAAACGCTCAACAATAGACAATATTTTATGGGATTTTCGTCGCGGATGAAAAACTATTTGCGGCATCGTGAAGCCCCTCAAAAGTAGAGAATATTGGATTTTTAGCGTGTCAACAAACCTATAACAGTTTTTAAAGTTTACGAAAGCTAACCGTAACTTTATTTAGCATAGCCGTTTTCGTGTTTTCTATTAACGAAAACTATTTTCAACAATTTTCACCCAATTTCCCGAAAAACGCGCGTCAGAATCGGCCATTCCATTCCGGGGGTTCCCCTAATAGGCGACGTCACCCCCGCCTCCGCCTTGCCCCCGAAAAAGCCGGAAAAGAGCGCCCCCAAAAAGGCGCAAGGACGCCCCCATGACTGGAATTTACTGCGAAAACACTTCAGCGAGCGGTAAGGGTAAAGGAACGGATCAAATTTGAATTTTCAATAGTAGGAATTTTGCAAAAACTTACTGTATCGCATGACTCCTGGCTGGCCGGTTTTGTGTTGTTGAAGGATTGGCCGGGTTGTGTTGCTAAAAAATTTTTGTTAGAAGCTTGCTTTTACTGAAAATCTCAGAATCTTCCATAAGTTATTTCCTTACCTTGCTGGTATCGTTTTACGGGGTTGTGGCTCGTAGTAGTTGTCTAGGGCGGAGGCGTCCTAAGTAAATATAATACATAGAAAAATAAGTAAAGTCAAACCTCATATTGTAATGCCTCATTGGCGCTCATCTGAAGGTAGTCGACATTGTAGGAGGCAGAGGCTGAAATTGGGCGTCGAGTTATTCCGAGGGACACCAAACACCGGAATAGCAGGGCACAAGATCGGCCAGGGGTCAAGGCATTGTGCGAAAGAATTTTCAGGTGGCCAAATGGACCAGCGCCGGGGGTTGGCTGACAGGGGTTAGGACCAGCGCCGCGTTAGCGGCAAGAATTTTTTGGCTTTTTGGTCAATATCCAAAAATAGCGAAATAAATGGCTTCCTGATTTTCTGTAATTCAATGTTTTGCGCTTTACAGTTCTTTCTTCTTTCTTTCACAGTACGAAAATTGCGCATGAAATTTGGGCAGAATCGACACAGGAAAGAATTTGCAATGCCAGACGGCCCCAGAAGAGCGGCGCTGGTCCCGAAAGCCCTTCAAAGTCGGATGAAGCTGAAACCTGGATGAGGGAAGAGAAACTAGAACTCGTTTAGGAAATTGGGATGGATCGGCCAGTGGAGTAGAGGTAGCATGTATTTGAATGGATTTTTCCCATATAAACGGCAAAGCCGCCGCGTCCAATTAAGCGCCGTCCATAACTCAGAGATAACGTAATGGATCAGAACGGTTGATACATAGTTAGAAAGAGGAAAGACCGGCCAGCCGACTAGAGTTCAGTGGGAAAATTGAGACGGAGGGCTTAAAAGGAAAACGGAACATCTACCGATCCCACGGCAATTGGCGACCAGTCGCTGGTCGATAGCTACAGGCGGAAGCAATATGGCTAAAATGTTTTGTCAGATGATACCATACCAGAGGTATTCGGCACATTTGGTGGTGATTGATTCCCTTTCGGGAACCAACGGGGACCAGGTGGGGGCGCGGCCAATGGCGTCCGGAGGTGAAGCGCGCTGGTCGGAAGGTTTAAACTGAGCTCTTTTCTTTTTGGCAGTAGTTGGCAGACCCTGACCTAGCTTGACAACAATTTCAAACCGCTAACGCCAGGACGGGGTAGTTAGAGCATTTTCAAGGATTCACACGTGCAGGGTGGGGGCCGATTTATTTCTCCGCTTCCACTGCGATCTTGAACATTTTACCCAAACCTTGTCGGGGAATGTATATGCTCATCTAATTGCCAGCTTGGCCGCCGTTCACCCGTAACGGCATTGTCACATCCTACCCACCTGACCGTTACTTTACTCCTTTGCCGACTTCGCCGAAATTTTCGCTGTTTTTCTGTGTCGTCGTTACTGTTTATGTGATTTTTAGAAATAGTTATTCGAACCCCTACCTCGCAGATACATATATCGATATACTATTTTTTTTTGCCATCATGGCGCCGTAGGCGCCGAAACGCGATTTACTAACCCTAGCCGCCCCCCCTCAAGGGCCCGTGCCCCGACAAATATTGGCCTTGTCGCGCGGCCGAGATAATCAAAAAGGGAACCGCGTTGATCTGCCATTAAAGGGACCGGAAATTGTGGGCCATGGCATGATGGGCTTAATCCTAAGGTAAATAGGGGTTGGCAATTTTCCAAGGAAGCTTTATCTTCAAAGCTCAATTTATTAAAGACGTTTGGAACAGCTGAATTAATCGTATGCTATAAGGGAAAAATTAAATATACAAAATCTTCCAAATTAGCTAAATTTTCTCCTTTTGCGTTCTCTTATAAGTTTAATTAATTTAACAAATACTACGCTTCATAAACGAAGCCGCATTATATAGATTTTAAAACCCACAATCTGATGATGGGGATGACGCGCAGGCACTTCCGAGTGAGCTGCCACGATCCGATCCACCGGGGGAGAAAGCTGACGCTGCGTAGCTGTGCTCATCGTCTTGGTGCTCTTGCTCCATGCCTGAAAAACTTTATTTTTAGCGCCTATGCGACGTTTTTTGTCAATCACTTTGGATTTTTTATTTAATCCATTGGTCCCCTCTTCCCCTAGCGAACCCCCATTTCCCTATGCTTGTTGTTGTGCTGGGTGTGGGTGGGGTGCGACTGGCTGGTTGGTGCCAACTCTTTTCTTTCCCAGCTGGCCGAGGCCACGTTGGAACCTCGCTTCGGGTTGCGAAATAGCCGTCGCCAGCCCTCTATGGCTTGGATGAGTCGACTTGTCAAAACATTATGACGCAACGTGTGATAAGCTGGCAGTAGATTTGGGAAAATTGTGCAAATGAGGGGCTTAAAAATTTAGAAATTCAAGCCAATAAATTTAAGGGGCAAAAATAGCTTGTAATACAAGCTAAAGAAGCCATTTTTAGCCGAGAATAGCCTAAAAACAAACCATCAATTTCTTTAATTAGCCCATTGCAAAAATCGTCCTCATCAAGTGGCAAGTCGAGGTCGTCAATTCCGGCGAAAAGTACGCGGTCCGACTAAAGGCATTTGGAATATTAGTGATATTCCGATAAGAATTTACCTCGAGGATATCGGCCAACACGGGATCGGCGCCCTTCATTAGCAAGGCCCCTTCAGGCATATCAATATCTAGATTGAGCTCCCAGTCGGCATACTGCCCCAGCCCGAGCTGTTCCATTACCTGTAAATCGATCGATGATTCGGAAGAAAAAGCAAGAAAAGGAAAGAGACAAAATAATTAAACTGCAATTTCATAGAGACTCAGACAATGAGAGGACGATCGAAACTTCCAGATTCAATACAGAAAAATCGCCTAATTATTTTGAAAAGCCCGAAAAGCCTACAAATATTTTTAGCCAATAACAATAGAGTAAAAGGCCGGGTTGGCATAATAGCCCGGTGAAAAGTACAGCATTCGTGATTGGATCAATGAAACCGGACTCAAGATAAGGCGGTTCCCTGGAACCCCGAAGAAGCTAGGGACTATCACCACGCCTTTGGAAAGCAGCGCGATAGTCTTGGCGTCACAAATATATAATCATAAAGCTAAGGTTGTTTTCAGATAGAAATAAGTGAAAAATAGCCCTAAAACAAAAGCCCATAGCCTAAAATGCATTCCAAACTTCAAATTCCAGTAAATAAAAGATTACATTTCCGAGGGAATGCCAAAATTCATTACCCTGAAAGCTTTTCTATGGCCGAATTTCAGTAAGACAAAAACTTTCGATGAATCCAGAAGCCAGAAATTCATTCAAGAAGCCTGAAAATGCCCGGGAAATCGATGGCTGCCCTCGAAATATTGTGTCTCTCCATCTGAAATAAACATTGCTAGCCCCCGAAAGCGAGGCGAGATGAAAGGCCTAAATGGATGGATGGATCGGGGGGCGGGACATGGCGACTAAATCCACGGAAATTGGTTTGGCCCAAAAAGGGAGGGCCCGTCACTCACACACCCGTCATTATAACAGGGGGCGGGCCTAGCTGAAGGCGGAATGATAAAGATTTTGCTTGCAGATACGGGCTATCGGTTTTGGATGTGATGGTGTTGCATCACTGGGATAATTGCCCACCTAGCCGGGGCAGGATTAAAGGATCGCCGAGGTGCGAAATGGCCGGAAAATTGTTTCATAACATTTTCAAATTGTTGAACAGGAAAAATAACGAATTTCCAGGCATCCAATACTTTACAATCAGTTGTTACGGACTTACCTGTAGACTTTCCGGGGAGAGGATCCTATTTTTCCTTAGAATCTGATTGTTCTAGTCTAAACACACGTGTTTTTAAGCTGTTTTTACTATTGATCAATGCTCTCTTTAAAAGAATGATTAAAAATACAAAACTAGCGATTCTTCGAACCAAAATGGTCTATTTTCGGCGCTTTAAAAAAAACGAACTTTTAAAGTTTGCTAAATTGTATCCGCTTGATATACCGCCGAATTTACAAAGAAACCATTAAAAGACTTACGGTGATGCTATCGTTATTAACGAGTAGCTACGTTAAAATTTAAATCACAGAAAATATAAGTGAAATACCGTTGATAAGCACAGTAACGGAAATAAATAGAGAAAAAAACCCTAAAAATAAGTATAAAATAAGTAAATCAGTTCATTAGCAACAAATTTGACCTTCATTACAAGGGATGGCCCCCGGATCGTGGAACTGGCGTGGTCAATTGATCCGTGGCCCAAGAGAGAGAGAAAGGGCCCAAGATGTGTTGCCAGACGCCCCTGACTCACCCCACACACCGGATTTGACCTATCCAATCGGGGTGTGTGAGGGCCAGTTGGTTTGGAGGGAAGAGAGAGGGCCCAGCGAAGAGCCGGTGGGCCCCGAGGGGTCACCACAAACATACGCACACTAACCCCTCGCGACACACACACATAGAGAGAGATTGCGGAGGGCCCACACTGTCCACTTTTGGGGCCACAGTTCGGATAGTTGGGTGGGGAAACATTTTGGGGAACGAGGAATTCGTGATGCAATAAGTTAAATAGCTTAGAAGGTTTATATTTAGCTTTAAGCGCTTGGCAAGTAAAATTTTATAATTCTGGCTGGCAAGTAAAAATATAGAAAAAAGAGAAATATAGAGAAAAAAAAAGAAGAAAGTTAGGTCAATGGGGCGGCGGCCTGCGTGTCAAAGGTCCTGTTTTCGCATCGAAAATCGACCGATAGTCGTCTGCCTGTTTGGCAGAGCGACATGCAGTCCGCCGGGGTGTTTGGCCAATCTGAACCCGCACAGCCCCCGCTGCGGATCCCGGATCCACGTAGCCGCCGGTGGATGTTGTTTTGCAGAAAAGTTTGTCTGATGCCGCCTGTCCCTACACACTAGCCATTCCCAATCTGTCTGTGTGTCACCGCGGGCACTTTTTGAACCAGCCCAATAACAGGGCATGTGCGAAAAAATAGAGAGTAAAGTTCAGGCTCAAAATTTCATTCTAAAAGGCGTACTATTATACCCTGTTCTATGGAAGCTAATAAAGTTCATGCTGAAAACTTCCAGAAAAGTTTTAGTGAAAAAAGGAGTATCAAACCGGTGTGGTAATGCTAAACAGGCATGATATAGCCTTATCTGTAGAATCTAGCAAAGTTCGGCTTCAAATTTCAGGTAAAACGGAGTATAAACCGAGGTTAAAATTCTAAAACCTCATACAAAGCGTTCTAAAAACGCTTAGTGTTCCGAAACAAGCGTAGAACCCTGAATTTAAAGTGAGAATGTTTTGCAGTTAACTTGTAATCTCATCAAGGCGAAAGAGAAATACCAAAAATAATCTCAATAATTAAAAGATCGTAACTCAGAGTACTGACGTAATTTCGCTATAGAATCGTCCAGGCCAAACTCGTAAATATGGACGGCCTTCAAAAATGGTGGGGCTGCCGGTGGTGGAAGGGGGCAAATGGGTGTAGAGCCGAGATCGTCGCCAGGCCGAGGTCAGGGCCGTAAATCCCGAGCCTTCAGACGGGGATCGATCTCTCACAAAGACGTACGCACTTAGAAACTAGGGCATTCCAATGGATTCAAGAAGTTACTAAGAAAACTTAAGAAAACCCCTAAGGAGTCCCAAAATAATTGCGTACTTCCCGGGGATGACTACAGGCCAATGAGCAGCGGCAAGACTGGGGCTGGGTCCTTCTTTGGCCACTCAAGTTGATTGCGGGCCCTGGAAAGGCCTGTTTTTGCTTGTTTCCGCCAGAATAGGGAAGGCGAAGTTGCTTGGAATAGGCCTGACTTGAAAGGATTAATATATTGGGAAAAATTTAATTAGCGCAAGGTGAGGAGAATTTTCAATTGAAAAAAAACACTAAATTGAGGTCGGATTTCAAATTTCTAGAATAATAGAACGTCCTAACTAAATAAATATGTCATATAACTGTCAAAGCTATGTGAAAATCAACAGGAAACGGAACAATTGGATTTAAAAAAATTACAAAATCGTAAATTAGAGGCCATGGCGCTTTTCTAAGATAAGTAAATACACAGACTAAAGGAATAAAGAATAAAACACTGTAAACCCCATGCAAAATCAATGCAATGGATCAATCCGCGGCTTGAAGCTTCGCAAGGAAGGGCTGATCCCCCAGAGGGCCGGTCGACCCAGTACGGACCGGGTGGATGGGTTGAATGGAGGTGGAAGCTTGGGTTGAGCGACAGGGAGAACGGTCTCTTTCTCTCAACTCTCAGATCCCCCGAAGGCCTTCGAATAGGGGCGGGGCTTTGAGGGAGGGCTGGGTGGTTGGGGGGCTGTGTGCTGACGCGGCGCTCCGTTCCACATCAATAGACGCGCAGGGTGAGGAAGGGGGGCCAAACACAGGCTAAACAGAGCCCGAGGACCCATTTGCACTAACGTCCTGAAAAGGAGACCCTCCTAATGGATGAGAGGGGCATGCCCTGGGGGCATTTGTTCCTGCAGACAGGTCCACGCAAAAGAGCGGCGATCCAGGGATGAAGTACCCACGCCATTCCAGGCTTTAACAGGCAGGCACGGATAGCTTTGGGCTACGGCAGGCTCCCTTGCACAAGGGGACAGCGCGCTCGCTACGTTTTTGTTCGAAAATGAACAAACTTTTGGACAAAACTGGATTTTTCTCGAAATGTAATAGAAAAATTGGAAACTCAATTAGATTTAAATATTCTAGACGCCAAGGCGCAGATTTTGAGACCTAACTATCGAAAATCTATTCTGGTACTTTTTTGTGATGGCCTTTTGAAGTTCAGTTCAGGATTTTGTGCGGTTTTCAATAGCGCAGAAACCAAGGATTGTCGCTGAAATCTGAGCCTAGATTTGGTAAAATCAAGGTCGATTACCCCCCAGTGCGTGAAATCGACGCTTAAAATGGCTCCAAGTGACTGTTTTGCGAAAATGTACGCCAGTGGATCAACCGTCTCTTTTTGATCGGGTTAATTTTTCCAGATCCTTATTGTTTTAGCCAGTTTTCAATGGCTGGAGCACAGTTTTTAAGCAAAACGCAAAAGCTTGGCAAAGGTTTTGGGGGAGAAATAGCGGTTGCACGTTGGTCCCGGGGGTCGAACCCGGACCCTCTGTTTGAGATTTGAGATCGGCGCTAACCGATTGCGCCGCGGCCCCGGGGGGTCCTATCCGTGCCTCCGTGGAATGCCGTGTACCGGCAATCAAGAGTGTCTAAAGGAATTAGAAAGGCATACTTGGTTCCATTTACCCGTTAATAAAT